GATATATGACATATGGTTTGCATTGTACTTACAGAAACTACAATATACATGATATATAAGAGAGATCAATCAAACACCAGTCGTACACGATATTACGAATGGCTGTGGCGTATAAACATAATAATGTTCTACACCCGAGCAAAAAAAAAAAATAATAATAGATTAAAAGGGTATGTTTTGGTAAATAAATGTATATTTTGAGTATGTTTTAGGTTTATTTAATGTATATTTTGTGTATGTTTTAGGTATATTTTATATATGTATAGGCATGCTTTAGATTTATTCTAGCAGTGCTTGAATCAATAAGATATATTCTAAGAATGTTTTATGTATAATAAAGATATTTTATAGGTATATTGTATGTATATTGAGGTGTTTTTTTGGTTACGTTTTACGTATATTTTAGGTTCATTTTAAATATACACTATAGTAAGGTTTTAGGTATATTTCAGGTATATTTTAGGTACATTTTAGATAAGTTTTAAGGTATATTTTGGGTTTGTTATATTCCATTCTTGTGTTATATCTATTTCTAACCTGACAACGAATAAGATAAACAGAAACTCAGATATACACTTCAATTTTTTTTCACGATCTATAAATTAGCCGTTTATATATTCATACTTATGTTTCAAAATGTATGTATACGGCATGAACAATGCGTACAAGTTCGGATTAGCATTTTTATATCCGTCAAACCCGAGGTCTTCCAATTCACGGTGACAATGAAAATATTCAGTTGCATGTAATATGTAGCTGTTTTCTTAAGGCTTTTTTAGATTAAATACCGTGTAATATAAAACTTTAATTATTGTTCTCGAAATCACGCTATATTAATTCAAAAGATAAAATCTTTTATAGTAGACCCGGTATAATAGGACGGGGATTAGCTTTACCAGTCTATCTTTTGGATATACAAAAGGATTACATATATTTGAGAAAATAAGAAACTGTTTATGAGTTTAACAATTATCACTGACACCATCTGTTTAGAATGGTAAAAAATCTTGTTATATTTCAAACTGACACGTAGGATGTAAATGCTTGTTTCAAATTTCGCGAAAAAAAATGACGGTTGTTAACAGTGAATAAATGCAATGTTTGGAGTCGTGACATCACAATGGTATCTTCTGCCTCAGGATCATCTCTTTACAGCATTTAAAAGAGCACATTAGATTCTGGGTTTAACAAAATGTATTTGCAAATTTAAAGTGAAAGAGAACGCGTTTCATGTTTGATTTGAAAGCGGTATTGTCATTTTTCTCCCTTCCAAAATTTTGTTACGTTATACAGTGACTGTCAGTGTAACCATGTACATGTGTAAGATACGCAAGATCGATTGTGTTCTATCAGCTTATTTAAATACTCTCGAACCCGTCTAGAACCAACCAGTGCTCAGCAATATAACAGAACAGAAAATACTATTTTGATTGACATATACTCACCTATATAAACAAGGGTTTAACAACACAACTTATACTAAGGTAAGCAATATGAAAATGTAATCTAGGAAAGAAGTTTGCCCTTACGGTTTGAAAGTAAGCCCAAATCAAACTAAAAAAAGGTCAAATCATATTGGACCACTTCGGCTATGGGCAGAATTTTGAAAAAATATAATCTGAGAAAATATTCTTTAATTTTCAAATAGGTCTGCAGATAGCTTTACCAGCTTAGCACATGCATAATGAATAATTTAATAAATTTGAAATCTTGTTAGAACGTGTTTTTCTTTTTCTTCTTCTTCTTATTTTTGTGTGTGTTTTTTTAAATAAAAAACCCCCTTCAAAACATGTATTTTATTAGATACAAACAATACAAAAAATACATGTAGTCACTCTATACGCTATTCAATATAAATAAATATTGAACCGATGTATCAATATTTGTAATCAAATCAAAACTATTTCTGTCCTGAATACTAGTAATAAAAGGAAAAAAACCTCGGGCCAATAATAAAGAAAGGCTGCACGTGTTAACAGGCGAATACCGTGCAAATACATGCAACCGTATCCGAAGACTTCCGAATTTACCGATATAGATACAGAAAATGCTATATAATTTTAGCTGATTTTTGGACAAAAGAGCCCGGGACATCTATTCTAATTACAAGAAAACCAAAGAGTTTTGGTGTTAAATTCCGGGCCAGTCTTTAATTTAACATGTGTACTATATGTTGTGATTTTCATAGATAAAGGCGATATGGTTTCGGGTAAAATGTTTCATATTACCAAATACTAATATAAAGGAAGAAAACAGATTTCTCTTTCGTGAAATAAAAGGAAAATTTGGAAATTTATATCAGTGTTGATATGTGGCTATGGAGGACCTATAAATATGCTTTTTTCTCGTTTATTTATTTCCTTTATATTCTGTATTTTAATATCGTCTCAACATTATTAAAGGGCCCATTATGCCTCAGAAATGCTATCATTTTTATTTCTCAAAAACATTTCTTATTCATTTTTTGGGTATCTTCTTACAGGTTCCAAACAAATACTAACTTGCCATGCACATAAACTATCTGTTGCTGATTTTGTTATGTTGGCAATTGGTTTAATTATATCAAATCAGTATTTTATATATATGGAAGTCCAAATACTACTTTGTTTACATTTTATTACCTTTACAGCACATTATTGAATGTTCAAAGCTACTTTATCAGTTGTTACATATCTAACATGCTCCTTACACTACTAAACACATTATATTTGACATTTAAAATTAAAAATATGGATTTTAAACACTACTAAGTCCAGCTTATCATCATCATTATTATTGTCATCATAATTGTCATCATTACCGCCGTCGTCGTCGTCATTATCATCATCATCATCATTATCATCATCATCACCATCACCATAATCATCATCATCATCATCATCATAATCATCATCATCATCATCGGCAACAGCAGCATAACCATATAACGCTGATAACAAAATTGTGGTAACAGTTGTAGTGAGATGGTGCCATACTAATAATTATGATAATAAAATCATTTCTTTTTGACTACCACAACCGCCAAATCGGAACATATCTAAGTGAATTTCAACTTTCCAAAGAGGGAAGAATAGAAAAAGCTGTGGTTTTTGACAAATTACACATGCAATCATTAGATGACACCAGTTATTCAAGTAGTACATACAATAGCGTTTTGAATTCTACTGTCATTTTGTAAAAGTGTTTCAGGTGGTTTATAAAAACAATTTTGATTAAGAACAATGATAAAATAACACTTTAGATGATGACACTGGGTAGTTTACATAAGAAAACCTGCCAACACAATTCAACATAACCCTTATACCAAACCATTGAAACATTTTCTTCCGCTATAGCATGTTCTGGAAAAAAAGAAGGAAAACGTTGCCGTAAAGTAATATTTTAACGACATATTTTACGACATTACAATATTATAATTTCCCACTAAATTATCAGTTAACAAGCTCAGAAAGGAAGCTTAATGCGCTGTGTTTATGATCACTAACCAATTAAATTCGCATGAAACGTTAAACTAGAGCATCTGGGGGAATATTCTTAATTGTGCGTTTTAACCCCAATTCTATAAAATTAAGTAGACACCTGAAAATCTTTCATATTATCTCTAATCCATAAATTTAGGAAACATGAAATTGCCCTAAACAACGTGTCATAAAGATCGTATCGAACTAGCTTTTGTTAAATTTAAATGACAATTGTTGCTGCAGCCAATAAAGATACCCGTTAGGGAATTAAACGACCGCCATGTTTGATCAAGTAACCATGAGGCTCTTCCTCGAATTATTGATGATAGCAACTAATCAAAATTACTGCCATATTATTAAAATTTCTATATTCATGAGAGTTCTGAACGAATATTTTTATCATACGAAATATACTAGAAGCCTTCTAAGTTACAAACCTTTCAAGGGCGCATGGACGCTTGAACGTTTTTTTCCCCTAATGTAAAACTCATTATAAGCACTATAAGCCGCGCCAGATGACTGAATCGTTGGTACCAGTACAAGTAACAGCAATAGAACAGGTGTGGATTGAGGAAACCGGTAAAGAATTTAACCTCCAGCGATATTCGCAATCCCATTAGGCTAAGGAGTCCGACGATCTACTTCTACATCAACTCGTCCTTCACTGTCATACTTTCTAGTATGTGATGCTTTTAAACTCGTGCTTAACAACGTCTTGTCGATCATCATCATTATCATCATCACCGTCAGCATCATAATCATCATCACCGTCGTCATCATCGTCATCATCATCGTCATTACCGTTATTATCATCATCATCATCATCATCATCATCATCAAAAACAACAACAACATCATCATGTCATTTTAGGTTTACATTTCAGTGTCGGAGGTTATCAAAATAGATACGGAAATAGCCGATTTGTGTTACGAATAGGTTGTAGAATGGATTTTCTGTCACAAGTCTTGAAATAAAATGCCTCGATGGTTAATGTATTTAGTCTATGTACGGTATTATATATTTAAAAAATGGGACTCGAATCCCGTTCACCAATAACTCACACTAATGAAACCTTTACAAAATCTTGGCAAAATACTTTCCATTTTAAATACTTGTTAAAATATTACAATAATTGAAATTTATTTACTTTTTTAAATAGTCAAACTGACTTATAGAAATAGCTACATGTAAAGTCATTTATCAGCGACACAAATTAAAGTGAAATTTGTAACAAATCTTCACTCAAAATATTGACATTTTTCCACAATACAAAAGGAACAATTTGAGTAAAATGTATAATTTCCTTTTGTCATTTTAACAGTATTGACAATGTAAACATGCAATGTTTTCACTGTAAACAAATCTTTTAAAATTGTCCTCGGTCCTAACACAAAATCTTAAGCTTTTGAAATCACCACAAACTACCGTATTCAATGAAAACTATGCCTTTTTTAATATTCCACAATAAAAACTTTTGTTGGGCGCGCTCATTATACGTATTTAGATGTATGTATTCGTCCGTCATTATAAGACGGTCTTAAAAAGGATTTTTTTCTTTAAAAAAAATTCATTAAATATATATAGAAACAAACTTAACATCCGCTCACTCGCATGTTGCTAAGCTTTGAACTGAAAAGAGTTTTTTTTTCTTCACCGTGATAAGTAAAAAGCCTGAATGGTTTTCTCTTTTCGTTTTTACCATGATTATTTTGGATATACGAGGCGGTAGTACAAATCCTATTAAAGTTTAAGGTAAATGCATTTAATCTTTCACCTCGCTATGTAATTAAGCCGGTCGATATGTATTTCCCTATAGTTCCTTTAATGTAATTTGAAAGTTTTGAACTCTTCTGGTATACATTAGATAAAAACCTAAGATATTTATACACAACCGGACTCATTATGGTTTGGAGAATTGTACGTGTAATGTCAGTTATCTAGAAGGCTTGCTTACATAGAAAATAAAACAAACATTTGAAAAAATGACACGGAGGTAAAAAAAACAAAACGTTTTATTATAACACCTGTGACATAGTGAACGTGCCTCGTTGGTGTAAATCAAAGATGGAACTGTTTAGGATATAATTTGATTGAAAAATGTGAGTACATATTAACAGAATCTATAGTAACAGTGTACGAACTAAATAAACAATAAAGTTAAAAACACTCTTACTTTGATTCGTATACTTATATGCTTTAAGATCTAGAATTATTAAATCGTTTATAATGAAAGTCTTAGCTTAGATAGTGGTTGGACCTGACTTCTGATTTGTTTTTGTTGGGTCACGAGTCGCACCGCCACCTTAATAGTTATATGGCGACTTTCCAGTATTTTACTGGTTCAGGGAGATACCGGGTGCCCTGTCACTGTATGGTTCCTTTCGAATAGAGTACCAAAGTGGAGCTTTTTATGTGATGAGCTATACACCGTAAATTTGTGTACATTATACGTCAAAAACATAACCACAATATTTCCCATGATCATAATGATAATATAAAGAATGACAATGGAACCAGTTACTGCCGATATAAATATAAGCATTCTTTGGTCGTTGACTTCAAACCACTTGCCCCTCATCGCTGTGGGTTCGAATCCAGACAGGGACTTTGGATTCTTCTCTGTGAGGGAGCTAACCAACTACTGTTATTTCTCGGAACGGACGGTGGTTCTGTTCGTGACTAAGATAATGCACGGAAGGGTACCTGACGTCTTCCTTCGCCAGTAAAGGTGGAAAATCGCCAAATGACCTATACTGTGTCGGTACTGTGTTGGTTCGACGTAAAAGCCATAAAAATAATAATATAATGAGACTATTCTTCGTGTGTTGTGCCTTCGGCCTCAGATGGTTGCAAGACGTTAAGGTTGTCTTACAACTGGTGTTATGTGATCATCAAAATGTAATGCATTTTACCTTACATGAGATAACTGAGGATCTCATCTCGACAAAAAATAATAGATACTCCGAATACAGCTCATTGTCAAGTATTGAAACACTATTCGGTAAAAAAAGCAGCGAAAAGAAATTCCCATGGGTCTCTATACGAATAGTGCATCTCCTGTAATCTATTCGAAAGGATCCCTATAGGGTGTCCAGACACTCTTGTGCCGAAACTTGAGAAGAACCCCTGATGTTCCGTAGGCTAGATGAAAAGCTTTCTCACTTGAAAGGATCCAAAGTCGCCGAGGGGATTCGAACCCACAGCGATGAGGGCCGGGTAGGTGATTCAAAGTCAACGACCTTGACCATGGACAGCTCCTGACTATTCTTTCTGCAATAGGTTACGAACTCTATACATTGTATTTGGATGTTTAAACTTTCGGAAACCTTTAACTTATTCTCCATATTTTCCAGCTTGACCATCCGAGTTTCTAGTTTGTTAATGGACTTATACCCGGTTTGTCAACGGACTATCAAATGTTTTCGCTTGTCGACAATCAAATTTCCCTCTTGTCAACAGACATACATGTACATATTTCCCACTCGTAAACGGACAACTATGTTCCCCACCTGTTCGACAAAAACATATTCCTCGATTGTCAACTGACGCTCGTGAATGTTACCCACTTGTCAACGGAAACGTCGATGAAACGTTAACGTAAAGAAATAAGATAATCAGACGCACAGTTAAATGATTTGTTTTTAATTCGAGATTATATCGTTGGACAATATATTCAAACTATAAATATACATTTTAGTCAAAAATAGTAGATAGAAGACCAAGAACTATAGACCACATTGCTTCCATAGTGTTGGGCCATTTAACAACGTTGTACCCACGTTGTATGTACTTAAGGGCTGGTATGAGGTTAACAAACTGACTGTTCGATACAGCTCTAGTTTCAAATTGTCTGAAATTAAGTTCACTATCATAAACAAACATAATTAATTTTAATGAAAAAGTACTATACATTATATTATCTTAAAGAGTATAAACACAAACTTTCACTTATAACACCGTGTCCATCGATTCTACTTGAAATAAATTTTAATAGCGCGAGTTTTTTTTTTCTTCTTACAAGACTACTTATGTTCTTTTTATCGAAGATTAAATCTTTAAAAGAGGAACTATCATAAACATAAAAAGCGAAAATCGGCGTTGACATAACTATGGTTGAAATTTGTCTATCTAATGCACAAGTAGCTTACAATATTCGATAATTTTGAGTACCCTGATCCTTAAGTAAACATTCACGTCTATTCTATTATCGAATCTTTATTCAAGATTTAAACTTACGATATGTAAAGAAAACGACACATTGATGAGCCAGTATTTGCAAGTAGGTATAAAAATACTTGTAAATTAAGAGAATAGGAAGTACGGTTGTGATTTATACCCGCGTCTTCACCTATATAGACGTGAACGGCTTGTTAGTTTAAAGGCACATTATGCCTCAGAAATGCTTTCATATTTATTTCTTAAAATCTTTTTTATTTTTTATGCAGGGTTATATTTTCCAAAACAATTATCCATCTTTTTTTGGCAATAAGCACAGTTCTAGCGATTTAGTATTTTAATATGCTGGTCAAAAATACTACTTTGTTTACATTTTGCTCTTGCTACTTTTTATGACCAATATATTCATATTTAGCACTACCTTCTTTATTTGATAAGCGTCTAACATGCTTTTAAACTCATATTTGCCATTTTTACAGAATGAAATATTTATTCATTTCTGAGGCATAATGTGCCTTTAAAGAATTGTGGCTCGGTTTATACCTGTCATACCTATCTTATGTTTTAAATACATGTTATCATGTATTAATTGAGTATGTCTTGAGATAAATAAAAAGAATATTTTTTAGTATTTGAACTATGATTATATTAACGACGGGAAAACGAAATGATACTTCAAGCAAGTACATGTACTCGAGTATCAATTTTATTATTATAAATTGATATTCGGGCGTTCGATCGAGCACTTGATTAACCGCTTACTCGTTGCCAATTCCTAGTTTAAACGTTTTTGTTTTCATTCCACTGGCTAAAAGTCTTGTTGGAACCATTCTCAGAGTCCGTTCTCTGGACTTAGCCAGTACAAGTGCCACATGGGGAAACATGGTTATGACCGACCCTCAATAGTGCTTGAACCCATAATTCCTGGATAAAGAGGCAGATACCTGACACACTAGACCATGCCCTCCTAACTGACTGCACACGGTGTTTAAACCTTGTAGTACTAATTTATAAAAGCTTAAATGTGGACCTACATTTGTTAATTACAATAACTTTATTGAAAAAAAGAAATAAAAAAGGATTTATTATATCAAATATGTTGCAATATAGTTTTATAACAGAATATATTTTTGCACAACCGCTAATCCACCCTTAAAAATTTGTGTGTTGAAATTGAAACAAAAGCGCAGTAAGTGACTAGTCGCTCCTTTTGTTAATTTGTTCAGGTTTAACGCTAAATGGGTGCATATTTGAAATAGATACACTGCATTTGGAAAAAACGGATTAACTTGCTGTTCTTTTTACGCAATGTCTGTGTGATTGCTCAATTATGAAATGTGACACGAAAAAAGTATATTTGTGAAATGTGACACTAATTGCTTTAATTATTTGTGACCTGATACGACATTGTCAGTTCACACTTTTGTAATAATTACAAATGAAGTGCACTTTCTACCATGTTTTTCCTCGGCATCTGATTCGAACCCGGGCGACCTTTGCAGACTAAGATCCAGCACATGTACGTGACGTGTGATCATGGTCTGCATTCTAAGCTATTCAGTCGGTACTTACTTTAAAATTTCCCCTAAAAATAATGAATGGTTTTGTCCAGATTGAAAAATGGACAAGTCTATTTAAGATATTTAGAGTAGCCTGGGTTAAATATCTAATCTTTTGAATGCAAGTGTTTGATTTATTGGTCCAATTTGTCAACCAATTATTTGCGATAAAAATAGATATACTTGTTACCATTAACTAAGACGAAGATTGCGTGCGACGGATTCTTTGCATTCTTTATGTATGTATGGAATAATTAAACAGTTTTAAAACCAAGTTTAAATGTACATGGTCTCTAGTTAAAATAGTTAAGTTAAGATCGTCGCGTTCCCATTTTCATGGTCCTTCAAGGGCGCATGAACTGTCATTTAAATTAAATATACTTTATAATTATATGAACTTCGTTTTCCTTCACCATTTCACCATATCTAAGGACAGCTTCTGTTATCATGCAAAAACGCTTAAATTACATGCGCATTCTATTAATACAAATTCCCCAATTATTAGAAATTCACCAATACACGTTAACTTGCATGTCCTTGCAAAAATATAATTTTGCTATTATACTTTAACACTTCTTTAAACTCTGATGGATGGAATCCCACATCTAATGAGTAAGTTGCATACTCCTGTCTCAAAAATTCTTAATTTTAAGAAAGCATTACCTTCTCTAGGTTTCAGTTGACATAAAGCGGAAACGTTACCGTGAATAAAATTCCGTTGCGGATGATTTACAGACGACGAGCTATATGCCTCGCACCGCTCCCTTAAGCTAGTTTTTTCCTTAAATTGTCAGTTTAGACTACTTGATTAGTGTTGATGAGTGTATAATTAAGACTTACTAGTATAGCTAATTATAAACTTATTTAAGAAAAACCATATAGTTCGCCAAAGGAGAAGAATTCTATAAGACTTGTCTTTCATTCTCATCCTTTTCCATTGTGTAAAATGTTTTGTTTGTTATATATTTGTATGTATGTACATTATATATACTTTCGGGAATAAATATGTTTAAACTAACTTGCATGTCCATGCAAAAATATAATTTGCTATAATATTTTAACACTTCGTACTCTGATGGGAATTTATATGATAAGTGATACTCCTGTTCTAAATATAATTTTAGAAAGCATTTCTCTATTTTCAGTTTCGAATAAAGTGAAACCCGTTCCGTGGAATAAAATGTCGTCTGCGGATGATGCAGACGACGAGCGTGAAAGCGCCGCACCGACTCCCGTACAAGACTGGGTGGATCCAAAATGTCTGAAGTTTACAATATTCATAGTGTTGCCTAATGATGAAGTGTGTACAATGCGGGATCTACTGTCAGGAATCACTGTTGATCAACTCAAGGTAATACAACCACCATGCATACGTTCGTGAAAATCCGGCATTTTCCGACATTTCCCGCCATTTTCCGTTTGTTATTAAGATGAAATAAGTGTTTATATGACCAGGAGCAATAAGGAAATCTTGGCAATTTTCAAAACAATTTTTTAATAAAATCAAATTAAATCATTTAAACTTCGGAATATTCCCTGATTTTCCGTGGCATAAAATTATGAAATAAACGTCGATGAAAATACCTAGATCAAACAAAAGTTTTATCAACTCATGCTGTTGTTTTTACATTGATACCGATAGTGGAGAATTCGTTCGTGTTTATACCTTTTATGCAGTTTTTTTTATTCTAAATCCAACGAAAACAAAAATTCATTTTATTACTCTCAATGGTTCGCGACTTCCAAAAATCTATATTTTTTCATTTCCTAAGATGTGTATTCAGTCCAAACTTTAATTTTTGATATTGTTATTTATTACGTTTAGATTTTATCTTGCAAATGTATAATTGTTATTATTAAAGTGGGAATGTCTACAACGGGCATATTTTTCATTACTTTTTTGCAAATATTGATAAAAACAATAGAACAATTCACTTTAAACAAAAAATCAGTCAATCAATTTATTAACAAATCAATCAAAATTATCATTTAAGTGTCGTTTGGAGCTACATTCAGGCGTACCAGCTCAGATCTACACTCTGGTCTACCCAGACGGAGGGGAACTAGCCGAGGAACTGAGACTGGTTGTCAGGGAAACCATTCTTGATGGATATCTTCTTAAGTAAGTTTTGTATATACATGTAATATTACTTGATACGGAAAAACAACTTATAATCAGTAAAACACAAATTATCAATTTATTTCTTTGAATGGTATTAAAATGTGTCGAGTGAAGGTTTAAAGGTATCTCCTTACTTGTTGTTAGATTTTGCACCATTTGTTTCCTTTGTTGAAAATACTGAACATTGTCGGTGCTAGAGGACATGACATTTGCATACTTTTCATTTAACCCCAAGAAAAGAATCAATCATAGGAATCTACAATTGATACTTCGTTGTTTTAGAGGTATCTTCTTCATTCAGAATGTTCCGTGTTTCCCGGTTATTTTTTCTGGTCCTTCGCAATCTTTGATTTCAATGTTTTGTGTTGAAAATAAAAAGATTGCTTAATTCGGTGCTAGGGGGCTTGAGAAAAATACAGCAATTTTCATTGTTAGTCAATGACAGACTTTAAAGTTGACACTTCAGTTTTTCAGAAGGACCTTTCTCTATAACAAGTAGAGAAACTGATAGCGAACAATATGGATTCTGATCAGACTGGTTCCATGCTGGTCGCAAACCCACTATGTTGGTTTTGTCATGACGCCGCTCATTTGTATTTCTTACATAGATCAACGCGGACACTTAAAGCAGAGAACTATGCCAAAAAAATTAATAAATGTACCAAAATATATTGAAAACTCGTATTTTTGACATTTCTTGGTCCGATTTGAGCAATAAGCGTTTCAACGCTTTTCAATTTTGGATCATTTTTCACAACTGGAATAATTATTATGGAAAAACGGAGTGAGCGAATGATCTATAAATTTGTACACACGTTACTTATATAGACTTTCATCAAATTTCCAGTTCCGGCATATCAAAAAACCTCAGTGGAGTCCCTTTTCTTTGTTTTCTATGTTTTCGTCCCCAAATATTTCGTAACAGACCAAATGCAATATATAAAGTAGGGTATACCAGGCCATTATAATAGATTAGAATTCATGACATAAAATCAGTTATACAACTGACCTGCTGAGAAGAAGGTTAAGGAAAATATAAAACTACATTTTTTTATAAATATGTTAAGTTTAAATAGATAAATAGATAAAAGGTATAGATACTCCCATGTCTTAATTTATCCGTCTTTGTAACAGATATAAGACTTAACTTATTTAAATATAAAAAAGAAAAGGTTTCACTCAAAGAGGTATTATCTTGAATATACATTTCAAAAGTAAACTATGAGAGGTTTAAGAGGTGTATTTTAAAGCTTTATACTTTTTTGATAATCAATATCATAATATCCTACCAGAGTCCAAGGTTAGACATAGATTTTAAAAGCTCAAACTCAGATATCAGGTATTTGATTGGTCAAAAAAACCATGAAAAACCTTAGATCTGAGAAAGATCTAAAACCTTAAGGCCAGGCCTTCTTTTACTCGCCTTCTTTGCAGGACTCAACGTATAAGTAATGCCTGTAAAATAGATTGCTTTTCTTTATTATTTTTTCTTATATATACTATTGAAATTTGCTTTACAAATTGAACGGTATGCGCGTGTTTATATTTTTTTTTCAAGAATGCATATCAATGATAAATTGGAATCCCTATTATTTTTCTCACCTTGTTTTATTAACAACGGCTTTAAAGATTTCGTTTATGCATTTTTATAACTTTTTATAACACTTACTTTACACATTGAACGATACTCTCGTGTCATTCCAGAATGCGTATCCATGACAACTGGGAATCACTGTACATAACCGTATCCCGGAACTGCATAGAACAAGTATACCACAGTGGTGGGGTTCACCTTAAAGGAAATATTGTCATCAGTGAAACCGACTGTGACCGTTATGAAAGCACCGTAAGGGAGAGAGGAACCATTGCTTTATTCATCGCGTCTTTCCTGGGTCTTCAGAGGATGGCGAACATGCTACTTTCTGTTGGTATGGATATTTTAAAGTCTCCTGGAGCTGCATGCCTCCAGATGAGCCAAAACATTTCAAGAGAATCAACTTTTAGAAAAATGAACTAAGATTTTAATAAAAGTAAAAATACGCACAATTCAAGTAAAGATTTAGATGTTGTATGCAATTAATGTCTGATTTTTTAGTATTTATCACCATATATATATACAGCGTGACTAACGCAGTAAGGGCTATTTTTGCATATTTTTTATAGTTATTTAGTAATTTACCTGGATTACACGTGTCATTTGCAATGTGAAAATTACTTTTTTGTTCACCTGACAATATTTATTTTCATTTTTTTACGAAAATAAGCGTAAATCTGGAGGCGTGCTACTTTAAGAACGAAATCAGTCACGCATGCGCATTGGTTATTATACTTAAATATACATCTTAACACATCATGAACATAGTGTTGCGATGACTTCCCTTTCTATATTCTAAGTAAGCAAAACTCGAGTCTACAATCATATTTGATGACATTTGCTTCATGTCAATACTAGTATATTTTCGTTTATTCAGGAGTGCACGTGAATTCTACAACCTTATTCGGGAGAACGCCATTGCATGCAGCAGTGGCAAAAGACCACGTGGTCATGGCAGAGTTCCTTATTAGTAAAGGGGCTTCAATTCAGAAGGCCGACTGTTACGGAATAGTCCCCATTGACCTTGCAAAACAAATGTCTTCCAGTTTATGTTTTCGCAAACTTCGTTTAATGCAATTAAACTTTCGGGGAAGTTCTGGTAGCGCAAATGCAATCAAGAAGTCTAAACTTATTGTGAAAATAGACACAAATACTGAGTCTACTAAACAGGATACTTACCATCCTGATAGAACTCAGTCAAAACTGTCACAGTACTCGGACGGAAGCTCACTTCCGGTCGGTCAAGACACTGCTCAACACATATCCAGGAAGCATTTATCATCCAGCGCACCTGTTAGTGTTCATACTCGCCGTGGTCTGACGTCACGTGAAAGAACGCGGTCTTCTCTTAGCAATTTTACTACGGGTAAACTACCACAAAATCGACGTAATGTTAAATGGAAAGATACTAAAACTGAGTACACGTACTGTAAGCATTTACATTCTCATCAGAATGGCCTCAGCGCAGTGGAAGAAACTGTAAAGGTTAAACCTATGAGATTGGCTCATCCTAAAACAATGATCAAATATTCAAACATTGCCAACCAAGAGGCGTTAAAAGCTAAAGCATTGAACGGGGAAGAAAACCCTAATGAAGACAAAACGAATGACAAGCCGGCCGAAGACGACAAGAAACTTACGCACGTCATGAAATATTCAAAAGAAAGGTGAGTTGCATACATGGATACCTAGTTATATACATACAAGTATATTAAAGCATACTGAGTAGTCTGTCAATTAAAGATCTGTTTCAGTTGACGCTTTCTTTGATTCCTTTTGCCACTATATTAACAGTTGATCCGAGCCACAAGAAAAACATTTTCATATTACATAATTGACCTTCTAAGCTACGTAACAATAAATATTTTGTCCGTTTATATAAGTTTGTACCCGCTAATATGTTCTATTCTGTTTTTCCTCTTTCTCTAAGGATGGTATAATATGTATTTAGAACAATACGTTATCCTTGTGGAAGGTCAATGTGTCAGACATTTTATGGCTTTTTAATTTGGACATTTGTGGTGGAGCATTTGGTTAGAATAATCTATTTACCATAATTATGATTGATACTTGCTTTAAGATTGTCTTTGGTTTTATATTTAACATCAGTTATAATGTTGTTGTTTTTACAGACTTAACTACTTTAAGAAGCTGGCGACACCAAGAGATGATTATGTACCGATGAAGGACCGCAAGAAGTTTACATCTTCCCAAAATGATGCTGAAGTCAGTGTTGCATTTAAAAACTGGTTGAAAAAGAAAACTGCTGAAATTGAAGCTGCCGAGGATACGTCATCATCTGGAGAGTACTTTAATCAAAGTGAATCAGAGGACGATAGAATGTATGAGTTTAACAAACGAGTAAGAAAGAAAAACAGGGACGCCGTCAGGTTTGCAAGAAGTATAACACCAGGAAACAGACCGCTGTTGGATGTAATGGAATTTGGAAGCACTCAATACGGTGACGGGAGAAATCCGCCAGCAGATTTGAATATTGGTGCATATAAAGAATGGCGGACAAAGAAGCGAGGTTACTTGATAGATATGCCTAAAACTAAGAGAGCAAATGATGTTTTACTGGAAAAGAGACGGCTTGAAGAAAAACGACAGAAGCTTTTGTTGACGGCAATATCGTATGATGAATGGATGGACCACGCCGAAGAGAGGAAAATGTTAATCAAACAAATTCTGAAGGCGGACAAGGACGAAATGAGAAAGTTAGAAGAAGATAAACTCAAATACAGGCAAAGAAAGTTCTCCTATGATACATGGAAAGAGAAAATGTCTAAAAGAGATCAAGAGGATAAGAAGAGAAAAGACTTTCAGAAGAAATACGAGGCAGAGAGGATGAGAGAGAAACTACAGAACGGGACTACGACTGTACCGTTCGATGATTGGTTAAAGAAGAAACGTTTAGCAATGTCAAAAGAACAAAATGTAGAAAATAATAGTAAAGATAAAAGTGCTGCAGTGGTCAGATTTGATGAGAGCGTTCGACAACAGTCAGACGCGGTTGAACAGGAAGCTCGTTTAAATAACTGGATGTTAAGAAAAAACGAAAACGAGGGTGTAGATGACGCTTATATCATTGGTGAAAAGTCTTAACGGTGAAATTAATATATACTGAGTACTTTCTGAAAATACGTTCAATTTATAGAAATGGCTTATTTGCTCGTTGGATCATTAATGAATAAAAAGGTCACTGACATTATAAGAAAAAGTATTATTATCATAGTTATACTACATGTAGTTTGCTTCAAATTTCATTCTATGTTGTGACATAAAAGATGGATATCTGAAATGTATCTTCTTTCGGCCAATATCAAAAATAGTTTAGGTATTCCATTCACTTATTGCTCAAGAGATGTTTATTTAGAAGGCGGCTGAGAGCCATTGTTTTTTTTTTCACTTGTTCATATAGACGCTTATTAGATATTTATTTAGAAAGCGGCGGGTTGCCAGTGATTTCTTTTTTTGCGGGAATTCATATAGACGCTTATATATAAAAGAAGTGCTAAGGTTTAAATGAGCTAATAATTTATGCATGCATATCCTTTGTACGTATCGAGCGCGAATGACAAATGCTTTTTGGCCATTTACAAGGTGTTTTTATTTGTAATATGTTTCGAACTATTCTAGTGGCAATAAAATAATATATTAAGTAGTTAAATAACCCATTTTAGTCTCTTTTTAGCAGATAGATAACATTATGTATACACCTTGACACTAGTATGTGATCCATTTAATTTACATATCATTACAGCAAACAAGATATGTTAACATGTATTGTATATTTGAAGAATTCTTATGCAAATTAATATCGTTATCTTTTCATTCAACATAATGAGACCCCCATGTATCATATTCAAGATTTAAGTATCAACAATGTACGTATGACGAGATTCTGACAGGTTTGTACTGAAACCAATGCGCCGGTCACATGACACCGACCAAATTTCGTACAAAATCTGACGAGGTGTCTAAATTAGCAATAAACCACATTGAAACTAATAAAGGAGATTTATTTCGCTTAGTGAGAGATATTGTTACGATTTTAATGTGTTATTTTAGCCGAACCATCGCTTGCTAGGGCTTAAATATGTAAATAGTTTCTTATCGCCAGATCGCCATGCCAAAATTCGTAAAATTGCCAGATATGATCTAAATATTATAATTCACTGACATCTATTCTCCATTTTTCATTGCACGGGTGTCCGACGGGTGGAGTACCGTAATCAATCTTGCAAAATTAATTAGGAAAGTTGGTAGAAGACGAGAAACATTAATTTATTGTTAATATCTCGGGGCTTCATTCTAGCAAACAATACCACACCTTTGTAAACACTGCTAAACGTAATCATGTGCAATCAAAACGCATTTAATTAATCATGAAACAAGCGTCTATGTGCTAGGAATGTCACGTGCTAATCGTTTTGATTAATATTGACTTCCGGGAAAGCGCAACCGGAAATGACATGAAAAGAGAACGCTTCTACCATTGCAAGAGCATTTAGGTTTGTTTTATTTAGACTACAAAAGATGCTGTACGAATCTAGGTTCTGATAATGACGTAATTATATTTACGTATAATTTGCGTTCTATTTTTTCCAAGTTTATCTTTAGAACAAGGCGATGTATGTCCGTGTGGTGAATTAGCTTCATGTATTCCAAATTACATAATTGCAATATGAAAAGTAATACAATTAATACAACTGAAGGCAAAAGTCACTGGTGCAGAGTAACACAACATTCTGACATGTATAGACTGTCGTCTGCAATGAATAGACTGTCGTCTGCTAGTAAATAAGTAAAAAATGTTCTTGTCCGAAATTGCCCCGTAAATAACTTTACATACGATGCAAAACCATCGAAGAAATGGTGATAGAGCTTTTATATTACTATATGCTAAAATCAAATCTGAAAATATGGATTTGCTTTCCCGCAATACGCCTAAAACTAACTATATATTCACTATTCACGTTTCTGAATTAGCTTTGTCATTTTGTGATATATAAACATTTCAACCTTGCTCCCGGTAAACAGGACTAGCTAGTTTAATTTATTCAAAATGATTGTTTATTATTGGTGATACAATGTAATTATCTACCGAGATCGTATTTAAATACAATGCCATCGGATTCTGTAAGTTTACACTTGTTTTACATTAATCCATAATAAAACTCATTTTATTATGACCGTTTTCAGAAACCTTATCATTTTGCAGTTTCTTTATAAATAAGATTCTCTAATCAGATTACAAAATTTATTACCTTAAAATGTTATAATCGTGATACAGCGTGTTTTATACAGTCGCGATTTGCACGATGACACCGGTTTGGTTTACATATGTAAAGAAATTAATTGTTCAATTACCACGTCGCCGTGGGAGATAGGCCACTATGACCCGCAACAGTTCCCGTTCCTGTTCATAGCAGTAACTTGCTTTGAAATTTAAATCGCAAACAAAATTTTTAACATGTCTAAGATCTATACTTGTCTACATTCATTCTGTTTATCAAATACGTGAACATATTTTTTTCATTTTATTTTAAAAATATTTTATGGTGTATTAAAAAGACTCGCGTTCTGTTGAATTTTGAGAATATTTTTCCTTGAATGAAATTCAAAAGTAAATACACTACAAATTACAGTCTTATACCATTCAGCTCTTGATAAATACCGGGAAAACAAGAAGAAAAAACAACAATAACAACAACAACATAAACATAGAAAAAATCTTGAATTTTTGCATGTCTCAAAAAAGAAGAAAAATAAGAAGAAAAACATATATGCATCTATGTTTTTGTTTTGTTTTGATTTTTATACAGAAAATGTTCAATAAATGCTTTACAATTTCCTGGAAACAAAAGAGCGAAATAAAAATATTTGCTATGACTGGTAAAAAAAACTCTAAGAAATAAATAGCCCAAAGCACTTTAATCATTCTCAAGAAGATTCAATGAAAATAAATATATTCAAAAAAGAATGTTTTTCGTGCAAAGGTTTTTACTTAAATCTAAATATTTTTCTTATAAATAAATCAAAACAATACTATGTTAACAAAGCAAAGTGTTTTGGAGCACAGTATATGTATAAAAGAACATGCATAAAGTATATACAATTGTTATTGAACAATGAAACATCGGTTCAAGCCTGTTGTGTTACAGAAGATTCCACACGGAAAATTGACACCAAACCTGTCATTTTTCTCTATAAAAGTATAATTTAAAATTATCTGGATAAGATGTGACATTCAATATCATTAAAATGATCATATCCAACACGAATCTACAATGTTAGACACATCGTGTGAAATTTCACCCCACCCACATTTCGTTTTGCAGAGCGATGTGAAGTTATCGTTAAAAAGCCTATAATCCACTATGATATATGACTTCTTTATGGAAATAAGTTAAAACTTGCAGCTTGGACAAAAGAAAAATGGTTGCACAGATTTTGAGCTTTTCATTCCATAAAAATGATTAATGATTTTCGATTTTGCTCACATGCGCAAATATGAACCGTACATGGAAAGCCAACACTAGTTAATTTCTCTACAGAGAGGGTCGAGTTCGTATCTGGCAAGAAATAATTACCCCCCGACTCTTAAGTGTTGTCACACCACATTAGATACCTTATTAATATTGACGTTAATATATCCAGTGTACATTTTGTTGTTTTAGCAAATTGGAACTTTAAAATCATAAATATGAAACGTTAAGTTTCGAATGTTGATAGGGGTGGTGTCGTCTGGGGATATCGTCTTTCATAACTAGGCTTGATAGAACTAAATTGTTGGTTTGTTTTCACGGCCCGTGAGTCTTCTTATGTATGAGGAAATTTTCCAAATTTTGCCCAAGTAATCCAGACATTGTCATTTGAAGGAACTGTTTTTTTTTATTATTCATTATGTAATTCCTTGATGTTTATGAGTAGGAAGTGAGCATTGTTTTCGTTGTTAGTTTTTTATACGAAACTACAAAACTAACTTTTGCTAGCTTTGTGTGTATGTGTGACTCTCCAAAAGGAGGTTTAAAAACAGAAATTCAGACAATGACAGCTGCCATAAAACTAACTAGTAAAGGTATTAGAATGAACGTTATAAATAATTGTAATGTACGGCAGATTCTTTTTGGGGCATTTGCAAAATTATCAATGGGTAGATATTAACTCGCGGATTTTTTAAAGTGTTGTTCATCTTCATATTCAATAATTCTGAATGTGATGTTGGTTTTGGGATATAAATGGATACCAAAAATTTGTAAGAATAATATGCTTGCAAACTACGATTATATTTTATTTTAATGTCCGTCATATCTCATTGAATAATGCAGGGCAACACGTTTGTAGCGTGTATAAGAGTTTCCGAAATATCAAGAATTGCGTTTTCAGCCACACTGAACTAAAATAAAATTGCTCATTTTGAGGTTTATTTATCCTTGCATCCATGTCTGAAATTGAATATCTTAATTCTAATTTCATGTTTATTCGCAATGTTTTGTTGTTACTTGATGCGAGTAAACATTTTGGTTGCTGAGTAGTGGGCAATGAAAAATACCTAAGTACATATAAGTCAATAAGTGTGAGTGATCTGTAAGTAGCAGTGATTTGTTGATTGTTGAATAAGGATTTGAAAATCAGCCAATGGCGTATCATTATTTTTGCATTACAAGTTCACGAATCTACATTAAAACTCACTAAAGAACTATATATGGCCGGCGAAAATTTATCAGTTTATCAGATTATGACAACATAAATTAACAAAATACATATAAAATAAATAAAAAAACATTATGGAAATTAAAAAAAATATGAAGACCGAAAATGTTTAACCAATTGCGAACATTCCGATTCTGAACATGTTTTGCTTATACGCACGACATGAAAAAAGGGGTGAATTTTTAAGTTCACCAGATGAGTATAATTTTGAAAGCATCTTCACGCTAAGTACACGCCCGCTGATGTTTGTTGAGAATATAATCATCAACTAGATTAATATGGATAATGTGTTGCCGCAAAGAGATTTATTTATATTTCAATGAATAGTATTCCATACAGAGGGTTCCGCATATCTCACCGAAGTCGCGTTTTGGACAAATCTAAACAACGAAGCGCAAAGATCGTCTGGCGCCGAACCCCCGACGTTAACATCTTACCGCTACTTCGAACCCAACAAAAATTCAACAAATATGTGAATGCCTAATACGGCCAATGAACAAATTGAAAACATAACTCCATCAAAAAGGGATAACGAGTTAATTCTATTTAAGAAAGTTTGTCAGTTTGTATACGAGGGTGATTGATGGGGAGTTACAGCGCGCAGATTTATTTTAATGTGATTAAACCATTTTGACAAATGTAGCTTGAACATAATTGAGCCGCGTCACGACAAAACCAACATAGTGGGTTTGCGACGAGCATGGATCCAGACCAGCCTGCGCCTCCGCGCAGTCTGATCAGAATCCATGCTGTTCGCTATCAGTTTCTCTACTTATAATAGGGTTTGTAAGCGAACAGCATGGATCCTGATCAGACTGCGCGGATGCGCAGGCTGGTCTGGATCCATGCTGGTCGCAAACCCATTATGTTGGTTTGCTCATATTAAATAGGCCGTATTCAATCATATATTCCGTTGATGCTAAAGTTTGTGAGGCGTGTTCAGGCAAGATGATATGCTGGCGTATGCCGGTATAATCCAGGAAAATCTTTGTTAATTTTATTATTATTGTTTTCTGTTATTGTTGTAATTTTTATCAAAAATATACATTACAATACAAATAACTTCATGGCAAATGAAACATTATTACACTGTTTAAAGCAAAACATATATAGTGCATGCATTTATAAAGATGAAATAAGGTATGACAAAAAATAACAATACTATTTCTTGAAAGGTCTTATGTTATTAGGAAAATTGCAGGTTGCACAACATATTAAATGTGATTATAAATATAAAGCGTCATCCAGATACATTTTGCATCATTAATAATAATA